AAAAGATCTTGAATAATAAAGTATACAGATAAAGTGTTTATTTTTCTTCTAGTTATTTATATTTTTCTGTTTACTTTATCCCTCAGCAGCTCTTTGAGATTCGTTTCAACGCGTCGACAAAAGGCCGGTGAACAGGAGGTCAAAGGTCAACAGGAAGTCAAACTTTACCGTGTTTTTCCGCCTCGTTTGTGACGGGTCTGAGTTCTTTATCCAGCCGCTGTTTGAACAGATTGTGCTCCACGTCCAGCTGCTGCTCGCCGGCCACGTCCATGGCATCTATACTGAGATCTGACAAACACAAGGCTCTGTTAATTAGCTCGTCAGCGCCGCCAGGAGGCCGGGGGCGGAGCGGCGGCACTTACAGGCGCATGGCATGTGAGGGAAAATAACGTCGATGTTGATTTTGAGTTTGTCTCCTCGAGACGTGTCCACGTAGAGCTCAGGGTGGACCTGTAGGACCAGACAAGTTTATTATCTCCTAGTTTRTTTAGTGAAACACCGTTTTGTGTTTTCAGGTAAACTTAGAGCAGCTCTGTGGACAGAATTAATCTTTGTGGGGTTTTTTCCACCCGACCAGTCGGACAGGAAAAACTCCTCTGATGTTAACGGTGACATAATCGAGTTATTTTCTGTAGTTATTGTGTCTGTGGTGCACAAACTGTGAACAAACGTTTCTTCTATTTGTTTGCCTGAATCCAAAACAGACGRTTCGTTTAAAAAATGATGATAAACCAAGAAATCCTCACGTTAAAGCAGCCAGGACAAGTAAATATTTTTAAAAGAAACTGAAAAGTTGAATAAATCTACAAAAAATCAAAACAAAACAGGTTTAATCAGCTAATGTTGTTTTTTGATGCTTTAGGTTGTTAAATCTTCACAACATAAAAACCAGGGCTGCAACGATACAGAAAATTCACGATTCAGTTCGATACTTTAGTCTCACGCTTTGATATTTTTCGATACAAAAAAGAGAAATATCCAAGCCCTTCTTAACTTGTAATGTATTTAAATTGATTATGAACATTTGTTTAACCTCAAAAGTACAGTTTTTAAATTAAATGTTGCTGAAACAGCAAGTTTCTCAGTGGATCTGAGCTCAAAAATRCAGCCTAGGTGGAGTAGTCGAGCACAGATCCACTGATCCTTCAACACAGAGCATCTTCACAAGACAAGTTGATAAAATAAATAATAAAAATCTGTATTGATCCATAAATGGTGTGTACTGATTGGTTCGATACAGGTACATGTATTGTTGCACCCCTAATAAAAACCTGTCCTTATTACGCCTCTTTATCAGCACTTTTTCAGTCCTAAAGCAGTGAGCTGAGGCRTTCAGGCCTGTGATCCTTCAGAGAGGAGGTCTGGGTTTCTCTCCGGACCTGTTGTTGTTAGATTGTTAATCTGAGATGACAGATGATGGGATTGGGTGGCTGGACTCGCCTCTTTAGTCAGGTAGTACTGCAGCTCGGAGACGAACAGGATTAACATGATGACGCCGCTGATGAGGGTCACTGCAGAAACACACAGGAAGTCACGTCTTTAACACCCTGGTTCACATAATAATCCACAAGCTTTTATTATTTAACGCAGGATGTCAGCTTTACTCACAGTAAATATGTAAACAATGAAACTTCATTCAAGCCTTATTGCTTAATGTTGAATAATAGAAGGGTTTCATCTGTGCCGCTTAAAACTCYACAATAATCTGGATTATTCTAGAAATTATTCCTACTTTGAGACAAATTAGAAATATTTTTCATACCAGAAGTGTGGGATATAATGCGACAAAATGTAACGAGATAAATATAAAAGGAAACAGTTTTTTGTCATAAGCTGAACTGATTTATCGTATCAGTAAAATAAAGATATAAATGCTTTTTATCTATGAGCGGGAACTGGTTGCATCATTTTATTACAACCACATTATGTATTTATTTAAACTATTGGAGTTATTTTGCCCTTTKTGTGACTAAAAACGTGCAAAACAAAGCAAATATGGTGCAATATTAATTTATTTWACATAAAAATCATTTGTACACTAAAAAACTGCTTAACAAAGTGGTTTATTCTCTAATTAAAGACATAAGTGTACTGATGTAATATTTAAAGTATTAAAATACCTGAAACTCGTATATAATTATGCAGTTATGTGTATTTTTCAATGGGCTAGCTGTAAGTTTGCTCCATGACAGGATTTTAAATGTTATAAATAATTTTTGTTYTTCTTTACAGGCTTGGTCATGACCATGTGAAGCATGTGGAGGGTTTAAATGTGTTTCATTYTTCTGTTTTTTATCCTCTAAAGGAGAAATGAATCAGTTAGCTTTAGCCGCTAGCAGCCTGTGTGCCACTTCCAGATGCTGATTTCTGATGAATTAAAGCTTTTTACCGGCAGCTCCGCCCCACGTCTTCACCCGGAAATCCTCCAGAGTTTTCGGGTAAGCGTCGAACTGCTTCAGTTTGTTCAGCGTGTCCATTTCGTGAGGGAAAACGCGCCGGTTGTAGAGAAAAATTAGCGGAAAAGATCCCTCTGCACTCCGGACGCACTACGGGAGCTCCGCGTTCAGTTCCGGGTCACGTGGGGCGGCGTGGACCAATCAGCGCCAGCCGCGTCATTTTTCTTTTCTTATCGTTTTCTTGTAATTTGTGGGATAAAAAATTAAACACAACTAAACATTAAATGTTTAACTGACATTTTAATGTTATTATTATTGTTTGCACTAAACAAATACATATTATTTTAATACTTATTAAAATATGTTCTGAAGGCAGAAATAAATGGAGAAAAGACCGTTTTATTTAATACTGATCTGTTTTAGTTTCAATGTTTTTCTGCGTTAAATGTGYCTTTAAATTCTCACCCACTTTAGTTTTGTTATCTAAGAAATAATAAGATAAAAATGAAAATAACAAGTCAATAATCACCAATATCAAAATTTTGCTTTCTTTTTTCTTAAAAAATGTATATTTCTTTGTTGCTTGATGAATAAAATTGTTTTATACTTATGTAGTTTGCAACAAAATGACAACATTAACTGAAAACACTGCTTCTGAAATTGATAAATCACTATAAACAACCTATAATAAATGGTTAATAAAAATATTCTTATTACACAGTTTAGGAGCCAGTTTTATTCAATCAGATGTCTTTTTGAAATTAAAATTTAATACTTTAATAATAACTCCTGATATTCAAAAACAATAAATATATTCAATCAGCTAAAAACAAACTAACTAAAAATAAATGAAATAGAACTCAATCTGTATGTTTAAAGTATCAAACTGTAACTTTATTAAACTTTTTTTATTTTTCTAAATTGTCTTATAAACCAGAATTGAAAAGACAGAAAACAAATGAAGAAAAAAAATGAAGCAAATCGACAAAAACCATCCTCCAGACAGGGAGGCCTTCATCTGGGTCACTCCTCCTCTTCCTCGTCTTCAGGCTGCTGGGCGGTCTCACCTGGCGCTTCCTGTTTGACCTTCAGGTGACCCTCGACCTCGGCCCTCGCCCTGAGGTCCGTCTGGACCAGCTGCAGCCGGGTCTCTCTGAGGGAACGTCTCAGTTTGGCCCGCCGGTTCTGGAACCAGATCTGACAGAAACAGATCAGGTGTCCTCAGGTAACGTCGTGTTTTGATTTACTTTATTATGTCAACAAGTTTTCCTCGTCTCGTTTCTTCCAGCGTAACGTTTTTTAGCTAAAAGTGGTGAAAACTGCAGATCCAAACCTGGATCCGGTCCTCGTCCAGGTCCAGCTGTCCCGCCAGCTGCTCCCTCAGCTGGATACCTGGATAACAGTTCACCTGAAACACCGACTGCAGGGTGCTGACCTGCAGAAACATCAGGGTTTGACTCACACATTCATCATTAATTTATTTATTTATATATTTATTTATTTATTAATTATTTACCTGTCTGCTGGTGAAGGCAGTACGGGGTCTTCGCCCAACATACCAGCTGGATGTGGGTCTGACTGAGTTCTGTTGTTTGGAGCAGAACCGGTTTTCTCGGTTCTGTTCTGACCCAAGTTCTGCATCAATAAAACATCACAGCTTAACAAACAGGAAGTAAATTATGTGTTTACACAACTCATTGTTTCAGAATTAGAGGTTTATAATATCTACTTTAATTCTTTTGAGGATATTTATTTACCAAGTGCTTTTTTAAAGTTGTTACTTTTATTTTTCTTCTAGTTTTGTTTTGTTCATTTTCTTTACTTTAAAATTGAACAATTGTTATAAAATAAATCTGTCTGAACTCATCATGAAATATTACGACTCGTAATATTACAACTTCAAACTCATAATATTATGACTTTAATCTTGTAATATTACGACTTTAAACTCGTGATATTACGAGTTTGAAGTCACGAGTTTAAAGTCGTAATATTATGAGATTAAAGTCGTAATATTATGACTTTAAACTCGTAATATTATGAGATTAAAGTCATAATATTGTGACTTTAAAGTCGTAATATTACGAGATTAAAGTCACGAGTTTAACGTCGTAATATTATGAGATTAAAGTCGTAATATTATGACTTTAAACTCGTAATATTACGAGTTTAAAGTCACGAGTTTAAAGTCGTAATATTACGAGTTTAAAGTCACGAGTTTGAAGTCGTAATATTATGAGATTAAAGTCATAATATTATGACTTTAAACTCGTAATATTACGAGTTTAAAGTCGTAATATAACAACTTTAAACACGTAATATACTTCAAACTCATAATATTACGACTTTAATCTCGTAATAGTACGAGTTTAAAGTCACGAGCTTAAAGTCGTAATATTATGAGTTTAAAGTCACGAGTTTAAAGTCGTAATATTACGAGATTAAAGTCATAATGACTTTAATCTCATAATATTACGACTTTAAACTCATAATATTACGACTTTAATCTCGTAATATTACGAGTTTAAAGTCACGAGTTTAAAGTCGTAATATTACAAGATTAAAGTCGTAATATTACGACTTTAAACTCGTAATATTATGACTCTATTTTTATATGACTTTAATGTCATAATACTTTATTCTCGTAATTAAATTTTTWAAAAAAATCTCATGGTGTGGCCCTAATACTCCATCGTAGAAAAGAAATGGGAAGTAAAAACTTATTTAATCCCACCCTTCTCCAAAACGTATTAAAAATAATAAATTCTTCTTTCCTTATTCGAAATCACAATTTCATTAAGATAGAAACAATAGTTCACCTAATAAATTATGTAATATATTCATGTTGTAATAATAATTCATAATAAATAAAATTAAACAACAATAAAATAAAAAGACTTAAAATCAAAGCAAAAATAGCTCTAAAATCTAAAATAGAAGAAATAAAAAATTGAACTGAGACAGGACCTGTTCAGTGTCCAAACAGACGACGGGAGCTCCAGAATTTAAATCAAGAAATAAGACCTGGTTCCTGTTCTGTAAAAACACTGAAATGTTTTCAGTAAAAAAAACAAGCGTCAGTGTCTTACCTGTCCAGGGTTGGTGGAGTTTGCGGCTCGTCTCGTGTTTCTGGTCCAAACCCAGAATCTGTTGGATGTAAAAGGCCGGCAGGGTCCCCTCCATGGCAGTGGGCTCTGATGGATGAGCAGGAAACACTCTGCTGCTGCAAGGAAACCTGACCTGGATCAGCAGGACCACAAACTGGGCTCTGCTGGTTTTAAATGGGAGTGGAGGATTCTGACGGGCCTCCAATTAGAACCGAGGAGTCTTTTTCCATGAGAATGACGAGCTAATCTCTGATAATTGGCTGCTCTGCTGAGTAAATGAATATTTTACCCTCTGCCTTTTTTAAAAGGACTAAATAAAGAAAAAACGTCTGAACTTGTTTTCTCCCTGATGGCGCACGCTGCAGGAGTGTGTGATGCAGACAGCAACGAGACAAAAACAAAAAAAAAACTTCATCCTTTTCTTCTGAATTACCAAAGTAGAAAATGAGTTTCCACTCTAAAAACACAGCCGTTCTGCAGAATTCAAACTCAGAACAATAACGACAATAAGGAGCCGGTGAGAGCCACTAATGCTATTAGTTTAATCTGTAAGTGTTGTGATGCAGATGAAGCTCGCAGTGTCGGAAGCAGCGGGGAGAAAAAAGCTTTTCAGGAGCAGATTAGTCCCTAATAAAGGCCTACGGCAGCTTTAAATCAACAGCACACTTATTTATTGATCCCTCAGCGGACGGAGGTCACAGCTGCATGAAGGAAGGGCTTCCTGAAGTCAGACATTCCTGCGAAAACAGCTCAATTCTGCTGCTTTCACATCTTTTTCTACTGAATAAAACTCATCCACAGCTGTAAAATGTGCTTGAAGGTGGTTTAAATGAAGAAAACACGAGTAATAAAAAGTTATTGGGAGTTTAAATCAAATAAAAACAGATTAAACTTGCAGGAACATTTGAGTTCTGTCCTGTCTGTTTGTGGAAAATTATCAGAATAAAACAAATAAAGCTTATATTTACATCCTGATAAATTGTCTAAAGTTTTTTTTTATTTAGTTTTATTTTTAAGCCTTTGTTTCTAATTTTAGCAGGAAAAAAATATTTTTTGCATCATCTTGTTTCAGTCACTTCTTTTACAGTAATTTGTGTCTATAACTCTCCGTAGGGGCGGAGCCAGAGCACACGCCTCTTCTGGAACCTGATTGGCCACCCCTGTTGATTGACAGGTTATCATTTGTGGCATTAAAAGAAGCTCGATGAGGTCACTAATATTACACAATGTGTTTGTATTGTTTAAAAGAACAAGAACTCTCATTTTTAAATGTTTTATTCAGATATATGATTTGTAATTTTTACAGTTTTTACACCAGGAAGTGAAATTACAGGTAAACACTTCCAAAGAAAAATGAAAAAAATCAAATTTTTTTCATTTACAGATTGATCGACGATCAATTAAAAAACAAGTAATTAAGCGTTATTGGGAGTTTAAATCAAATAAAAACAGATTAAACTTGCAGGAACATGTGAGTTCTGTCCTGTCTGTTTGTGGCAACCTATCAAAATAAAACAAATAAAGCTTATATTTACATCCTGATAAATTCGTAATGTCTGAATTTTTTATTTAGTTTTATTTTAAAAAGGTTTTCTAATTTTAGCAGAATAAAAAGCCATATTTTTGTATCATCTTATTTCAGTCACTTCTTTTACAGTAATTTGTGTCTTTTTATAACTCTCATTATGGGCGGAGCCAGAGGGGTGGCCGGGGTCACACGCCTCCTCTGGAACCTGATTGGTCACTCCAGTTGATTGACAGGTCACCACTTGTGGCATTAAAAGAAGCTCGATGGGGTCACTAATATTATATAACCTGTTTTTTTTTGTTAAAAATAAAACAAGAACCCTCAGTTTTAAACTTTATTTGATGATCATAGCTTTACAGATATATGATTTATATTTTTTACACTTTTTACACCAGGAAGTGAAATTACAGGTAAACACTTCCAAAGAAAAATGAAAAAAAAAATCAATTTTTTTCATTTACAGATTGATCGACGAACAGTTAAAACATTTTTAGTGATTAATGAGGCTAAATAAGGTTTGTTTCTTTACAGATTTGTCACAGTGCTTCTTCAGGAAAGTCTCAGGTTTGAGTTTCTGTGATCGTATCAGGTGCTCGCTTTAGAGAGCGGACTCACGAAGACCTCCTCCGGTAGGACCTTCATTGGCGAGGCGTTGACGGTGTTGAAGTACGGGAACAGTTTCTCAGTGAAGATGTGCGTGAAGGTGTGCAGGTGTGTGTTGGTGTCGAGGTCAAAGAACAGCAGCTTTCCTCTGCTGCAGTCCAGGAAGACCCTGATCCTCCGGAGCTGTCCCAAAGGAGCCAGAGGCGTGGACGGATCCGACAGGGAGCGTGCCACGTATTCCCCGTTCACGCGTCCGATCCTCCACAGGGACGACGGGTGGGTTCCCTTCGTCTTGACGCTCTGGGAGGCCACGCCCACAAACCAGTCGGAGCTGTCTCCCACRTCCACGTCCCAGCTGTGGGTGTCCRAGTGGAAGCCCTCCGAGCCCAGGACGATGTGGAAACAGTCGAACCTCTCCGGGTTGTCGGGGACGTTCTGCTTGGGTCCACACCTCACGCTGGTCAGGTCCTCGGTCAGGACCAGCTTGTTGTGGGCCGTGTTTGGGTCCAGAACCACAGGACTGTAGGAGACCAGCTGCTTCATGTTGGTCCAGATGTTGAAGCTCAGGTTGCCCAGGTGTTTGGCCACATCCATCAGCGCTCCTGAGGGGGGCTGAGGGTTCTCAGGTGGGGGCCGGCCTTGGATCTTGCTCACAGCGAGGCTGAAGTCCTGCAGGAAGGAGGCGTCTTGGCGGTTTGTGTCCTCGGCGTCCCGGATGGTGTCTGAGAGCGAGGAGATCTGCTTACTCAGAGCGCTGATCCTCCTCTGCAGCGTCTGACTCTTCCTCCGCTGCTCCTCCCTCACGGCGTTGATCCTCTGCTCCTCCTCCTTGTGGAGGAACTTGTAGAGCCTCCTGAACTGCTCCTTGATGCGGCCCTCCACGTGCTGGGCCTGGACCTCGTTGTGCTTCATGGTGCTCTCGCAGTCCTCCTTGGCGTCGCTCAGGAGCTTCAGCTTCTCCTGGAAGGGCCGGAGGAGCTTCATGAACTCGATCCTCAGCTGCCGGCCGTCAGCGGGCCGGAACTCGTGGTGGGCGTGTTCGTCCGACAGCTTGCAGACGAGGCACGCCGGCTCCTGGTGGTCCACGCAGAAGAACTCGAGGCGCTCCGAGTGCAGACGGCAGACGCCCTCGGTGCCGTCCGAAGCCTCGGACGGGTTCCTCTGGATCAGCTCGCAGAGGTTTTTTAAGACCCGGTTGCAGGGAGGGTTCCTGGTGGGGGATCTTTTCTTACAGACGGGGCACTCCCGCAGCGCGTTCCTGTCCCACCAGCTCTGCAGGCAGCAGCTGCAGTAGCTGTGGCTGCAGGACAGGATGACAGGATCCCGGTAGATGTCACGACATATCGGGCAGCAGAGATCCTCGTCCAGGATCCGAGACATGGTCTTTCCTGTCGCAGGTGAGTCACCTGTGGCTGCGCACCTGTCAGCTCTGTGAGCCTGCTTCAGCTCTCTGCAGCTGTCTCTTCCTGTTTGATCAGAACATGAACTCGAACTCCTGTTTTTAACTTTCTCTACAAGGAAGGGCCTGATTCCTGCCAGGCTCCACACACGTCACAGAGGGGGCGGAGCCTCTGTGATTTAATGCTGCAGTTRAATCACAGAGGGGGCGGAGCCTSTGTGATTTAATGCTGCAGTTATTTGACTTTACGTGACATGAAATCCTGCAGTGACCTCATGATCAGAGATGTGAAAACACTGACGGTTCTCAGCAGGGAAGCTTTTCCTGCTGTTACTGATAATAATCAGCTCATATAATTTATTTTTGTTCTGTTTTTACACGTTAACAGACATTTTTATTAAATAATACCAGTTAATAACTAGTTAATTTTGTATGTGAGTAATATACAGTAATATTCACTCAGCACGTATCTCATTCTGCAGTTTTTGTGCTTTTTTTTACAATTTAGATATCAAAACGTTCAGCTCCTTCAGGACATTCCTGCTATGAAATTTGATATTTCTCATTAAAAATGAAACCTTTAATTCTTTAAAAATATTCAGATAACTTTTGACCTTTTTTTCTGGTTCTAATTTTTCAACTTCTTTGTACAAATTTCAGCTTCCTTTGGCTTAAATTTAGCTGATTTTTGTTTATTTCTGCCTTTTTGACTTCCATTGTAACATTTTCTGCTATTCTTCTGCTAATTTTAATGTTTTGTGCTTTTTTTTAGCTTCCTTTGGCTTCTATGGACTGATTTTTGTATTTTTTTCAGCCTTTTAAGCTGTCATTCAAACATTTTCTGCTAATTTTTTTTGATAATTTTAACTTTTTNTGTTAAGTCAATCACAGGTGAGTTAGTTACATGTTAAGTCAATCTCTAGTGATTTAGTTACATGTTAATTTGATCACATGTGAGTTAGTTGCATGTTAAGTCAATCACAGATGAGTTAGTTACTTGATAAGTCAATCACAGATGAATTATTTACATGTTAAGTCAATCACAGTTTAGTTAGTTACATGTTAAGTCAATCACAGTTTAGTTAGTTACATGTTAAGTTGATCACAGGTGAGTTTATTACCTGCAGGATGAGGATAGAGTTGTGGATTCTGGGTTGTCTCTTCAGATTGAGAGGAGATGCTGTTGTTAGCGGTATGTTGAATCCACGTCTGGAATGAAACATGGTCTAACATGTATGACCTCATGACCAGGAACAATGGAGCAGATATTTGGCAGCTTATTTCTGTGCTGCTGAAAAACTCACAGAGTAGCTTCTGTCTGGTTTGTTTTAGTTTTTAAAATTAAAACAAACAAGAATCACGGAGTTGTTGAAACAATCTGAGACAGGACATCTTTTAAAAGTTTTTATTAAAACAAATTGTGTGTACACGCATATTTCCTGTTATAGGTAGTTTAAAACAGAAAACACGTAATGTTAGATGTTAATTAAAGCAACAAGTACAAAAAAAATGTACTCGCTATGTAAGTTTCCTACAAAATTAAACGATGCATCAATAAAAATCTGCAACTCTTGATCAGTTATTTAATGATAAATATTTTAGAGGAGTAAATAATATGTTGATATTCACCAGTTGTTCCACATTTGAATAATAATGTTGACGTTATTCAGTGGCTTCACAAATGACAATATTATTGTTTTTTTACTGTTGTAAATAAAGTCTTTTATTGTGAAGTTCGTGTTTTGTTGTTTGTTTCCGGTTTGATGACGCGTTAAAATGAAGTCATACTTTGGTAGTGTGTTTTTGTATAAACTCMGTAATGTTTATTGTTAGACTTTTTGCAGGGATGATGTTTAAAGTCGTGGTTTTCTGTAGCTTCAGGGTGAACCGCAGCGGCTGAAGGTCAGCTGTTGGCGCCCTCTGGTGGCGGCTGTGAGTCGGTGCCAGACCTCCCCCCCTCCTCCCCGTCCTCCTTCCATTCCKGGGGAGACCGCCTCCATTTTACCTCGGACACCGGGCGGAGGAGTAGCGGTTCGCGGCGGACTGTGCTGCCGGTGGAGGAGCAGCGTCCCCCGGCGGAGGCTTCAGGTGTTCGCGGCTCGAAGCGGCTTTTCTCCGGGATGGCGGTGCTGCGGCAACTCGCTGGATTTGTGAGAATTTCTCCGTGAATCGTTTCTGTGTGGGACGGAGCTGCGGAGAGGAGGCGGCTCAGGCGGTTCGGTTCGAATGATCAGGTACCGGCTCAGTTCTAAAGATTGATTATTGGCTTTGAGCCGCGGCTTCCTTTGATCCGCTCAGCGGGTCGGCTAGAGGCGGCAGGCCGCTGCTGCAGCCTCTCCGGCGGCCTCGCCTAGCGGCTTCACCCGGACAGCATCCATCCCTCCGCTGGGGGACGTGTGTGTGTGTGTGTGTGTGTGTGTGTGTGTGTGTGTGTGTGTGTGTGTGTGTGTGTGTGTGTGTGTGT